TAGCTTGGTTGGTATGTCTCTATTTGTTTCTCTGTTTCTGCTGGGATTGACATCCCGTGGTAACTAGGATTTACACAAGCTTCAGTCTGGATCCAGAACACCTGAGAAGAGATGATGCCAACCCCTCAGAGGACCAAACATACAGAACTACCACATTTTGCTATAAGTTTGATTGCATCATATAATAATTGCTGTTAATAGTGTTCATCGTCTGTTTGATTACGTCTTTAATTGATTTTTCCGTACATTTCTGCCATATGTACATTAACTGACAGTCACCACTGATAAGCTACCACTAAATATTGTAGAAACTTAATTTGCTATAAAGTTTGTATCGTGAAAAGCGCTATACAAATAAACTTGAATTGAATTGAATTGATGCAGGATCACTGGCAGAAAACTGGTTTCTCAGCTTTTTGGAGTAGTTTCTCTTTGCCACTCTGATCTCCTTTGTCAGTGTGTTTTTGACAAGACTCTGTCCCCACTCCTGTAGGCATCTTCTTTGGCCTTACGGAGCTGTCTGAATTTTGCAGTGAACCACGGTTATGAAAATGAACAAGGAAAACTCCCGCGATGAATACAATGGCTTACAGTTGATGAAAAGAGCTTCTAGATCAGGACAGCACATCTTCTTTAATGTTGTTACATCTGTACATCACCTTTCGTTGATGTAAAAGCATGTTCCACCGCCACGTGATTTCCCTGTTGATTCTGCGTTGCGATCCGCTCTGAACAACTGGAAGCTCAGCAGATGTAACGCGCTGTCCGGAATGGCTTCATTCAGTCAGGTTTCAGTGAAACACAGAGCAGCAGATTTTGAAAAGTCCTTATTTATTCAGGAGAGAAGAAGAAGTTTGTCTGTTTTGTTGTGTAGAGAGTAAAAATTCGCCAGATGCATACTAAGCAGAGGCGTTCTTAAGCCGTGCTGTCTGAGCATGACGAGCGCACCGGCTCGCTTCCCAACAAAACATTAGAATAGCCGAAAACCGGTGAAATATTTGGTGTTTACTGCCGAATGTTCAATAATTACTCCATAGTGAAACTGATTGCAGGAATATAGCTAAAAACAGGACAAACTAACAAAAACATTAAAACAACTGTGGAGCTCCACACTGAGGCAGCCATCAGCAGCGCCATTTTGTCTCATTTCTTATACATTTGCAGCATATTATGCATAGTATGCAAAAATTTTGGGGTTTACAAGATCCAGTCAAGAACTATAAAATGAAATTATGAGATTATAACTTTACAAGTGCAACATTTAATAGTTTTAGTTATGTTTTTGGAACAGTGTCCTACAAACACAACCACTGAACAGGAAAATGCCTTTCAATTTACTGCACAGGCTGCATGTGTGAAACGGAGGTCCCTAAAATGATATAAAACACTTAGTGAGTGTGTGTTGATAATAAACTCACCTTCCTCCATTGCAACCCTGAGGCCACCTGCAGGTCTGATAGACTCTCTGGAGAGTGGTGCCATTCTGCACCTGACAGGTCACTGTTTTAGTCACTGTCTGCGGACACCAGTTCCTAACAGAGCGAGAGAGAGAAATATGAGCATCAGAGTAGAGCAATCTAATTGACCTCCATCCTGTACTGGATGGTTCTGATGACATAATAACACACACACACACAGCTGGCTATAAAATGGTCTAATCCAACTCCCACATACTGTAAAAGTGATCAATGTTTCATGGGACACCCATCCTTCAACAGTCTAACCATCTTCTTTGAAAAATCTTTATGATGTTTATGCAGGTTAAATGACCCGTATGCCCAGCAGGAGAGCATTGTCAGCGCTGTTTACTTTGCGGTCTTTCGCTAGCAATACACATCTGCCCATTTTTATTCTTTCTGCAGCACTACAAGCAGATCAAGTCATGGATGGGAGAAGATGTCCTGTGCGAGTGAACATGTGGACTCCTCAACTAGATTTAAGACAGCTTTTAGAAACTCGAGCCAAAAACCTGAGCAGAGGCACAGTCTGCGGGAGAAAGACTGGTTCTTTTGTGCTGATTTTTATTAGGGCTTCACTTCACACAGCTGGAAAAGCCCAGAAACATTTTGAGGCACTCTTACACTCTGACATTTTTCAAAATAAATATTAAAATATAAAAAAATGATTTTAATAAATATAGTAAATATTAAAATATTATTCCCTCAAGCTATTTGTCAAGTTACAGTTTGAAAGAAATACTTCAAATTATTGATTTGATCTATTTTGTTATATGTGGGAATGAGAAAATTGAGAAGATGTGCAAGATCCACAATTCCACACCAAAATTCAAACCCTGATTAAAGATCAATACTTGGCATCCATGTCTCAATATAATATATACCCATACAAACATATCGATTTTTTCCCCCACCCCTGCATATCCATATGAAATCCTGACTGCCCTATTAGCTTTGTAGCATAGAAACTTACTCAAGGTATGGTTTCAGTCATGGTCTCATTATTTAGCAGAAAATACAAACAAGAGAAACAAGCCTGGGAGTCAAAAGTCATCTGGAAAGTTTGCCACGGTAATCATTAAATGTGCCCTACATAATGTGGAACTTTCTAATTGGGAAGCCAGTGGCAAATCCAGCCCTGATGAGGAGCAGACTAGAGGCAGGACAGAGGAGAGGAGAGGAGAGGTGAGAAAGAAACACGGAGAACCAAGACAAAGCTGCGTGGCACAAGCCCAGACTCTCGGCACATGCCAGAAGTCACAAAAGAAAGGAATGAAAACGTGGGTTTGAAGAGAAACACTAATCAGATCTCTTTCCCCCTGAGTTCCCTCATGATTTTTACACAGAATGACTTGAAACAAAGAGCCATTGATAAGTTCACCTCAAACAGACCTTTGTATGAACCATTATGCCTCAAGTTGAGCAAACATAAGTCAAAGAGATGTGGAGCAGAATTCAAAGAGAGTTAATGCACGTGTAACATATGGAGGTCATTATATCTACTATACTTCAGTCGTTATTATCAATGGCTAAGTTTATGCATAGCTATGATCACACACCAGTAAAACAGGCCAGAGGGCCGTTACATGCTCAATAATCAGAATTAATCTGCCTGGATTACTGTATATTGTCCGTCTGTGTCATTGCATGTGTGTAGAATTTTTAGGGATTGATGGTATTGTGGCAGCGTTTTCAAGCACAAATGGAATGGCATGATACAACAGCCAAAGAAATACATTTTAATGATGTAAATTCAATACTAGGAGGTTGACTGGTTAAAGATTAGTCTCTCTTTAACCTAAAAATATTTTTTTATTTAATACTTAAATATAATTATTTTTACATAAAATACCTTCCTCCATTGCTAAAACTATGGCCCTCAGAACCAGCCCTCAAATATTCCAGAAATGTCCAAAGCCTATGCATTTTAGGTGGTTTCCATGCCCTGCTTTAGACGAGGACCCAGGGACTCAGAGTCTGGAACAGAACTGGGGTGACCACTGGCTTATCCGGTCACTACCTGCCCAACTGCTCTGGCCCAGCCAACAAACACACCCAGACTGGACACACAAACACAGACGCCAGTCTGGCCACAGCTAAAAATCATGGAGCTATTTTTGTGATATGCTTGTTATTGAACCTAAAACCACAAATCATACCCTTGTCATTCTCTAGGAAACACAGAAATGCACATTCAAACTCGACCATAAATACAACTACACACACACCAAAAAAAAAAAAAAAAGATATATATATGCTCTTCAAAGCTTGAAAACTCCATCCAAAAAAAACATCTTTAATTAAAGTCATACGGGTTTGTAATGACATGATGAGTAAATTATACCAGAATTTTTATTTTGTGGTGAACTTGTGGTGAACGGCATTTGTACAGTCACATCACCTGTCAGCACTAAATCGTAATTCACCTGAGCAAAAACTATCACATATAATTGCTTCCATATTTCGCTGTGATTTCAGTCGCACTGAACCCCATCGCACTGATTCTGTCGATTTAGCATAATTTTAGCCTGCAAATCTGCTACATAAGTTGAACGGACACAGAAATGAGCCGAACTCTCTCACAGTAGGAGACGACGTCCAAGCAATGGACAGATAAAGATCTAGAGCGGCACAGCCATCAGAACACAGTTCCCACACTGCCCCCAATCACAATGGCAGTTTGGTGAATAGGGTGATTTGTTCGAGTTGTTCACCCCCCTCTCCTCTCATCCGATCCAGACTTCATCTGGTACTTTGCCAAACTGTAACTTCAATGAACCCCTCTACTCTAAAACCCAAATGTACCTAAAAACCAATACCCTCTCCATTTTAGAGTATACAGCATACAGTGCATGGCATTCTCTGAATCTTTGTGAAAACATTCTGGACACAGACCAGCTCCATATGAACGAATGAGAAGATTTATAGGGAACAAAATCCTTTCAATGAGAAATGACCCCTCGCCCGCTTTCTGTACAGAGAGAAGGAGAAAAGGGCAGCTAAACTCTGCTTTGATCCAGATTTAAACCTCAGGGCAGGGAGAGACAGAGGGTTAAAAGAGAAGGAGCAGTACTTACAGACCAAGAATTCCTGTAATCTAACATCTCTCCTTCACAAAGCATTTATGAGGGCTCATTATGCAACCCAGTTATCAGCCCACACTCTAATTCTCACTACAATAACCGTTCCAGTTATTGTTGTGCCTTGAAAATAGTTCAGTAATTTGAGATATAAAGAGCCATCAAGAATAATTTTTCATTACAAATTATTTAAAGGGGTCCTATTATGCTTTTTCACTTTTTTTATTTTAGTCAGTGTGTAGTGTGTATGTTTGGGCATAAAAAAGATCCAGAAAGTTACAAATCTCAAAATCCACTCCAAAGGGAGATATTTAGTTTTTTAAAAATCCCTTTTCAAGAACTACAACGAATGGCTCGTTGGACTACAGCGTTGGTTTCCGGGCTTTGTGATATCACAAAGCGGCTCATTAGAATATAAATACAAATAATTCCCACCTACAGAAATTCGAATGGTTGGGGAGGGGCGAGGTTGTGGTTAGAATGCTTGGTTGAGTGAGTGCATCAGATGAGACGATGAAGAAGAAGTGCTGCTGCAGAGTTAGTGCATCAGAGAAAACGAAGAAGAAGAGCTGTTGTGCTGTAGCGTCACATTTTCAGCATGTCTAGAACAATTCTTACAAGTATAACACGACGTAGCTGGGCGCCGCGGACAGACGCCGAATGGCACCGCCGGTGTGCCTACACTCATAGAAAATAATGTATTCGAATTTGAAAGACATGGCGCGACGCAACGCTGCGCTTCTCGTCCGGTGTGCGACCGCCTGAAACGCTGCTTTTTTCACCTCCGTGCCCAAACGTCTTTGTTTGGGCTTCCAAAAGCAGATGATGTCAGGAAACAGTGCAATTTATTTTTTAACTCTGTTCCTGAGCATTATAACCCCAATTTGCTATTGTGTGCTGCACATTTTACTGAGGACAGCTTCCACAATATAAGGGAGTACAGTGCCGGATTCGCCAAAAAGCTTTTGTTGAAAGACGGAGCAAGGGGCATGGCAGTAATGAAACACCGTCTAAGCTGCCCGCCAATCACAACGCACTGGGACAGCTAACCAATCACAACACATTTTGTTTTTCGGAAAGCCGGAACTAATCGAGCCGTTTGTGCCAGGCTGGGGAAAAAGGTATTTTAATAATGTAAATTATGTGAAAAATAATGCGTTTTTCGAACCACAAAGCATGAGAGCATGTTCTAGTACACCCCCAAAACAAAATCAAGACTTTGTAAATGAGCATAATAGGACCCCTTTAACTTGGCTATATGGTTCTTTAAGGTTCACACTGCTTCAACAAATCCCCAAAAACACCAAATACGCTTTTTGGTCAGTGTGAACATGACAGCTCCAGAATGTTTTGCAACATTCAAAATACCAGTCTACCACAATAATATAGTGCAATTTTAAAATAAAATAACCATGCTAATAATTTAGCACATTAAGAATATATATATACTGTATATATTTAAATAAAACAAACAAAGAAAGAAAGAAAAAATGAACATTAATTTAGTGCAATTTAGAATTAATGAATAAACAAAAAACACGGCTAACAATTTAACACATTAATTTAGAGCAATTTAGAACAAAAATCTATAAATACATAAACAAATAAATCAAGTCTAACAATTTAGTGCAATTTAAATGTGCCATAAAATGGAAAACTGTATTTACCTTGGCATAGTTGAATAATAACAGTTCTGTACATGGAAATGACATACCGTAAGCCTCAAACACCATTGTTTCCTCCTTTATGTAAATCTCATGCATGCAAAAGACCACTGAAAAATAGGCGAATCAGAACATAACACCGACTGTGACGTTACAGTCGGATCACTAATAGTTACGCCCCCAACGATTATCCAAGGATAATAGCGAAAATGGCAGATCATGGAAATAAATGTTATGTTCCAGGCCGTGCAGGGGATGTGATGTGCAGGGATGGGTTGGTGTCTGTATTCAGAAAGGCACGGAAAACAAATAACGCACGTTCTAATAAAAT